GCAGGGAGTCTGCTTCTCCCTCTCCCACTCCCCGTTTGTGTTCCCTCTCTCGCTGTGTCTTTCTCTGTCAAATAAATAAATAAAATATTAAAAAAAAATAGTCAAGGTCATTAGAATCTGACAGTCCTTCAGTATTTTAAGATGATGTTAAAGAGGACACACTTAGGGATTTTTCAATTAGCAACCCAAGCCTTACTACATAGCCAAATGAAAAACAGCATTTTGAAATTAAAGAATTACCCTGACAGCATCTCTAATATTGAGAAGCCCAAACCCTGAAAATTCAGAAAAAATACTGGTGACAAAAATACCTTGAATTTTCCACAAATTGCAAGAAGAGTTTGAACTGATCTGAAGTAGATCTGAAAAAAAACAGGATGATTCGCACAGATCTGTGACTACCATACTACATGTAGATGGCTCATCAGGATACTGGAAAACATTTGCTGAAGTCATCAGATTCGAGAAGCTATTTTTAGAACCCTACATCTAAAATTTCTATTGAATAACTGAGGTTAGGAATGAAGCAGGAGAGATGGACTGAGAGATACTGTGATGACAAGAGAGAACCAAGGACAGTGGAACATAGAGCTTTAAAGCTGTTATCTGTCATTTCCAAAGAAGTCTGAAAACCTTCTAACCTCTATGTTCCTTTGATTGGAGTCAGGGATGGGCAGGGGAATAGTTCAGCTGTAGGCCTCCTCCTTCAAGTCCAACACTTGTAACTAACTTTGTGGGTGTGTAAGAAGGCTAGAAGGGCAAAGGGCAGGGATGGGTACATGGCAGCCATGGGTAAGAGGGACAGGCAGTAATCACAGCTTAAGCCAAGGGTTGGTACAGTGCCTAGAGTTTCTAGAGTCTAGAACAGAGCAGGGAGTTGGAAGGGAGAGTAATAAGAGACCCAGAGAGCATAACAAGAGCCAGCCAAAGATCTGGAGACCAGAATATCAGCCAAGGTTAAAAAGTGGGCCGTAAAAAAAATAAGTGGGCCATGAATCCAGGTTCCCAGCTAAGAGGATATGAAAAAGTCAGCAAATCCTTTCCACAAAAATCAAGTATAAAACTGGACAAAATCATCAACAACCACTTTAGGGTTCTGGGAATTGATCATCAAAGCCAAACAACACATTGAAAAATGTTTAATTTTGAAAAATTGCTAAAGCTTGGGCGTAAGTAGGACAGGAGTCTATGATCTTCTTGCCAGGGACTGCTCCCACCCTTCCCAGCTTGGTCAGTGAGAACTTAGTTTCATCAGGATAGGTAGGGTAGGCTAGGGGCACCTGGGTGGCTCATTCGGTTAAGCGTCTGCCTTCAGCTCAGGTCATGATTCCAGGGCCCTGGGATCGAGTCCCGTGTCAGGCTCCTTGCTCAACAGGAAGCCTGCTTCTCCCTCTGCCTGCCGCTCCCCCTGCTTGTGCTCGCTCTCTCTCCCCTCCTCTGTCAAATAAATAAATTAAATATTAAAAAAAAAAAAAAGGATAGGTAGTGCTGGCTGGAAAATCAGCAGCTTTGCTACCACAGGAGGTGGACTCTATTGGGAGTGGAGGTGAAAACCTGCAGCTTTGTCAGCTAAAAGTGGCAACCTTGGTGGAAAACAAACAAGGAATACCCACAGCTCCGTGAGCCTGAAGTTATAATTCCTACTGGGAAGACAGACAGACAAGCCAGAAATTTAAAAGGGAGATCTTGGAAATGAAAGAGTCACAGAAGGGTGAGATAAGCTCTCTCCATATCCCTGGCTGACTGGGACACTAGGCACATACACAGGGGAGACTCGAGAGAGCCCAGTGGCAAGCAGACTCCAAGGCTGATGGAGAAAGGTACTCCCAGCCCAACAGATCAATGGACAGAGAGCAGAAGCCCTACAGACTCGAGGTGTTTATGCACAAGGTCTGCCCCAATCCCTGGTGGAGCGCTAAGCTATGCAGACACAGGGACAACCTCAAGCAAGAGAGGCTAAAAAATAAAAAAAATAAGAATTTAAAAGTGAGCAGAGACATCCACGGCCGCATACTATGGGGGAGATAGATTCTGCGGTCTAAATCAAGGAAAGTTACCTTCAAAAAAGCCTCAGAAAAATAAATGAGAATCCACAGTTGCTACAATGTATTATCTAAAATGTCATTTTCAACAACAAAAGAATTATGCTGTGCAAAGAGAGAAAAGTGTTAGGAAAAAAAGCAGTCAACAGAGCAAGACCAAATGTTAGATTTAACGAAGACTTGGAAGCAGCCATTATAAAGAAGTCCAAAGAATTAAACTATATTCCAAGAATTAATGGCAAATAGGATGACAATGACTCAAAAAATAGAAAATCATGGGCTGCCTGAGTGGCTCAGTCAGTTAAGCATCCAACTCTTGATCTCAGCTCAGGTCTTGATCTCAGGGTTGTGAGTTCAAGTCCTGTGTTGGGCTCCATGCTGGGTATGGAGCCTACAGAAAGAAAGAAGAAAAGGAGAGGAGAGGAGGAAGAGAGAGAGAGAGAGAGAGAGAGAGAG